TTTTTTTATAAGTTTTTTAATAAATTGTCTCAAAAATTAATGTGATTATATGGGAGTTGTGATTATATAGGAGGTGAAATGGCTGTGTAAATCCAGGTATTGGGCACACAGAGCTCACTTAACAAGTTCCAAGTAGAGAGGTAGCACAGATCTTTGACGGTGCTATGTAAAGGATTATCACCAAAGATCTAGAAAATGGATGAAACTAAAGTGTTTGGCAAGGCACCATACTAACCAGGCCGTTGATGTATTTTGAGGAAAGGGTCTGCCCTTTTAGGCTATTTGAATTGGGAGTTTGGGGACCAGTAAAATGGTAAATAATTCATAAAGTGGATGCTGAGGTTTGGGTAAACTTTACAAAAGCAATAGTAGGTAATGATAGCGGCTTCAGCTCGCAAGTACTTGTTCTCGGACTTGACATAAGTTATCAAAAGTCTAGGTTAGCCAGATTGTAGGTACAGAAAGCTCTAGCAATGATGCCTTAAGAATAAATTAGTTCTAAGGCTATAGTACGCATCCAGAACTCTTGACTGACAAATGTAATAGAGTGTTTCGGTGATACAAGGGAGCAGTGTACATTACAGAGGGTTTAAATAGATAATCACTTAGTTGGGTTATAGGTATGGCAGCTAGTGTAGAACCTATGGTGTAATCTATATACGGACTACTTAAATAGGTACTCAAAAGGTACACATATGGCTAGTTGTATTCTCTAATGTAATTAAGTTCCATTATAAGCTCTCTACCTATTATACTTGAATAAAAACCTCTACACCAAAGAGGCTAGTTAATAAAAAAAATAAAATAAAAAATTAAACCATCACAACTGTATTAGTTGAATATAAAATGTTGCAGTTCATATACACAGTATTACTTGAAAGAAGTAGCAACAAACAATTTCACGATTACAGTGATTAAGACAAGAGCATAAATGTAACCTATTATCCAAAAGTATTACAAAATGCTGTATATCATTTGATATAACATGTCACAACAATATTAATAAGATTTTGATTCTCAAACAAGTTAGGATCATCAAGATTGATCTGCAATTATATAACATACTAGGATTAGTACAGATTAATATTAATATTAATATATTACTCCTTTTGAGGATCCACTATGTATATCGATATACTTACTGCACAATATCTTTATAGTTTATCTTGTGTTACAATTACGCTATAATATTGCAGTGATTGTTTTATTTGATCCTTCTGAATTTTTAATATCTCTACAGTCAAATACTTTTACAATACTTTACAGACATTTGGAAGAATAGTGTCAGCTGTTGCAACTAAGGCAGCTTTGGAAACTGATGTACGAAATAATGCATATTCTGTTTTTTTATCTTCCTCAAGAACGCATGCTGTTAACTTTTCTACAAGCTCTAACATAGTTGTATTAGAATTAAAAATCAGCTTTTTGATTTTTGAATTATAGCTTTTGACTCTAGAAGTTGACGACATTCCTGCTGTAAATAATTTAAGCACAAATGCCTTTGCTCAAGACTTTTTGCTAGCATAAAGTCGCTGTAAATAACTAACTATATTCTCATTATTATACTTTTCGAGTAGTAATTTCCATCGATACTTAAAAATCATAACAAAGCCAGTTTGTTGCACTTCAAAAAATTTTTTAACAAACTCATCATACTGATCTTTGAGATGATTTTTTAGATTGAAAGCAATGTTCTGTGAAATATGAAACATACAATGAAGCACATTTGTAGTAGAAAATTCGTCTCGTATGGCAGCGACTAAGGCAGGATTGGCGTCAGTAAAAATAACTTGTGGAGTAGCTCCATGGGTTGCTTTTTTAATTTGCTGTAGTATCCAACTATAAGCCTCCTTGGTTTCATTATTTGTTAATGCTTATGCCACTAATCTAGAAGATAAGTGATTATCAACTACCAAAAAAAGTAACAATACCATTTCATAATGATTAGTAATACTAGTATTATCATTTAAAACAATATCACAAAAGTTTAGTTATCGTTCAATTTGATTAGAAGACATATAAAATAATTGACAAAAACATTTGCTATTGGGATTTCAATCTATCTCAATATACCACCGAGGATTAGCTTCTTTCTTATTAAGTAATTCCTGATACAACCTACTAATATTATTTGTTTAATTATATAGTTTCAAACAAAATCATTGAATTACCCATCTTAATATTGTCATATAAATCTTTTTGAAGTATTTTTCCTCTAAAGCTTTTTAGACTACAATTCATCTTTCTTACAAAAAATTCAACATCCTGAATTATCTCTGTAATAAACTCAATATTTTCTTGGAAATTACAATGTGACATATCAAGGTTGTAGTTTTTATGCTCATCAACTAATTTATTATCTTATCTCTTAGATTGTAATAGAACACAGGCAAATTTGCCTACATTTTTATACTTTTTTAGCTCTGATTTACTTTTATAAAAAACTAAAATAATTAAATAAAACTTTGTACAATTATATTTGAAAATAAGGATTACTTTTTTGCAGTATTTATTTTTAGATTATAAAAAAAAAATTTTAGATTATTTATGAACCTAAAATATACAATTTTAAAAATAATTTATAAAGAAAAAATTTTTTAGTTTATTTATAACAAACCTTTTAAATATAAATTTTAGACTTATAGTTTCTAATACAACTTTATAGTTTGAATTAAGAATTATAATTTTAATTCTTATAAATTTTGTAATTTACTTATAAAAATTAATATTTGTCTTAAGAGCAAAAATTTTTTCTAGCTTTGGAAACATATAAAATTTTAGAAAACCTAAAAAATTTTTAATACTAAATTCTAATATTACACAAACTTTAAACTTTAACTAATCAAAAGTTTTTTAATAATTTTAAATTTTTTTTAATAAAGTTGATAAAGTAGATCTTTAAAAGTCTTTTTTAATTAGAAAGTATATTGCTAAAATTAATTTTGAAATTTTATTAGAAAAATAAAGTTTAAAAAAATAAACACAGACAAATTTGTCTGTATTATAATTTAAAAGATAATATATCTTAAAGGTAAAGTAAAAGGTAAAATATTATCATTATATTTATAAAATAAAGCAAAAGAATTTATAACAAGTAGTCTTTTCAAGCACTATTTGTTTGCCAATACTTTGCAAGATAAAGTAAAGAAATTAAAAACTGAAAATAAAAATTAGCAAAGTCATTAAAAGTATCAAACTATAAGTTTAGATCTTTTCATATAAAGCATGTATGAATAAAAAAAAAAGTATTAATATATCTTTAGAATTCAGTCTATTGCTTAAAGATCAAAAAAAATAACAAAAAGTTAATTTTAAAAAACAGCAAAAAATGATAAAAACAAATAATCATGAATATGTTACTGAATTTGTTAAATACATCTCATATAAGCAATATTAGAATGATTTCACTTCAGCAAGATTGAATATACTAAAGCAATAGTAGTTTTTTTTTACTAAAAAAATATCAGATTGCTAGCTCTCAATAAGAACCCTATTTCATTAGAATACAGAGTTTCTAAAATATTGCTTTATCAAAATTGGCTAGACAAATCTTATTTACCTTCTTACTTATATAGTATAATGATTGACAAAAGTATAAGGAGAGATAAAAAGATGTTTTTAGTTTGTTTTTCATATTAAATGAATATAAAAATTAATTAGTTGTTATTCTTACAAATAATTGATATAAAAAAATATAGTAGAAATAAATAGTAAAAAAACATATAAAGAAAATAACTTAGATTCAAAACAGTGTAGATTTTGGCTTACTAATAATATAGTATATATGTCAGAAAATAAATCAAATACTATTATAAAATTTAATTTACAAACTAATGCATCTTTATTCAGAATTCTGTGTGGTTCACATATACTACAAATAGCTTTAATTGGCTTCAAAAATACTGTATTTAGAAAGTTACATACTGTATCAAAATTATTTTTATACAAACATCTTTATAATCTTTTTTAGTTAATTTATTATTTATATGATAGTTATGAAGAAAGCAATAAAGAATATCTGTTAAATATAAAATCAGATACAATATAAAACTATAATAAATACTTCTACAATATATTTTAAAAAAATATCAAAAGCCTATTTCTAGCTAATAGTAATATTAATTAATAATGGCAAATCAATATCTTAAAATTTTAATATATATTATCTCTTTGGAACTTGTTTATAAATCAACTTGATCAATTCAAAAACATATCTGAAAATTATATTAAGCAATAGAAGATCTT